AGATTGGATGACGTTAAGAGGGTGTTAGACACATTCCTGATGGTGCAGAAAGAGATGTAAAATTTCCAAAAATTTCCATTTTTCCCTGAAGAAAACTGTCTCTCCCCCTTCCCCCCACTTTTCCACCCCAAACACTTCTAATGTTTTTCTAGGTGGGAAAAATATTTCCCCTTTGTTTGTTTTTTTCCTGGGGAAAACAATGGGAAATTTCAGTTTTTTCCCCATTTTTTTTTTGAAAAGTGGGTGTTTTCAAAAATTTTCCATCTGTAGATGTAGAATGGCTTCTAGCTGAAGATGATTTTGCATGTGCACAATTTTATCTCTCTGCCTGCAAGTTGTGCATGACCTGAGGTTGAAGCAGGAACTTTTTAAATCTCTGGCAATGTGCTGGTGACAGCATTTCCGTTAAGCTGGTGGAGCCATGGAACAAGATACCGGCCATGGATTTACTGCTTTTCTGCACCCTTGGGGGAAAAAATGAGGCATAAGAAATAAAACACTCTTCAAAACAACGAGGAGGCCCGTCCTTTAAGTACAGATTTAAGACATTATTTGAAAGCAGCTTTAAAGACCAATTTAACACCTGGAAGGCCATGGGGAATCGTAGCCAGTTGGCTGCCGGCTGGCAAGGGAAGAGGTTTGGCACCACCATGGCTGGTCCTCAGGCGGAAATTCCACGGTGGAGCTGCTGCAACCCAAAAAGGCCCTGTCTCACCCTGGACTCCCCTGCTGAGCCCATCAGGATGTCGGGATCCTCAACGAGGCGACAGGTTAAGGAGATGAGATGGCCGACAAGCCCCTCTGAGATTTTTCAAAGAGATGTCCTGGCCCCAAAGCCATTTAGGGCTTTGTGAATCAAGAACAGCATCTCTCTGAACCGAGTTCAAATTCTGACAGTTGTTGCTTCCAAATAGCTGCCAAACAAAGCGCCATCAGGACAGTTCCAACGGACAGCGATCCATTCAGAGTTTTCTAGCTGTAAAATGCTCAGAAGTGGCGTTTACCTGCACTGCCCTTACTGGGGTGCTCTGGGATCCCACCGTGCAGGGCCCCGGAGCCACACGGATGGCCGGGGACATAAACACCATTAGCCACGCAAGGCGTGGGGAATCTTGGCTGTCTTTTCCCCAGGAAAGGTTAACCGTTTAGTTATGCAGGCTTCACTTTCCTCCCTGTTGAGCTGGGAACTCAATTTACCCATCTCGGAAGGATGGAAAGTGGAGTGAACCTGGAGCCAGCCCTCCTGGGATTGAACCCAGGCTGTGAATCGCATTTTGGCTGCAATACTAGCTCCCAGTATCATTGGGAGAGAAGGTACAGTGGTGCCCTGCTTGACAATTACCCCGTTTGATTATGAAATCGCTTGACAGTGAGGTTTTTGCGATCGCACAATTTACCCATCTCGGAAGGATGGAAAGTGGAGTGAACCTGGAGCCAGCCCTCCTGGGATTGAACCCAGGCTGTGAATCGCATTTTGGCTGCAATACTAGCTCCCAGTATCATTGGGAGAGAAGGTACAGTGGTGCCCTGCTTGACAATTACCCCGTTTGATTATGAAATCGCTTGACAGTGAGGTTTTTGCGATCGCATCGCAAGTGCATCCTGAACCTGAGATATTGGTTCAACTGGTGCTGCTGGTTGTTGATTCCAAATAGCTACCAAACAAAGCGCCATCAGGACAGTTCCAACGGACAGTCATCCATTCAGTGTTTTCTAGCTGTAAAATACTCAGAAGTGGCTTCCCCTATGGAGGATCTTCGCTGGACGAGCAGGTATTTCCCCCCATTGGAAAGCACTGACCGGTTTTCAATGCATTTCAGTGGGTTTTCCCCCCGCTTGATGACGATTTCGCTTAACAGCGATTTGCCTGGAATGCATTATCGTCGTCAAGCGGGGCAGCACTGTATACTGCCAAGCTGATCGTCAGGTTTTCATAATGGCTCCCCGCTGTTTTCCGGACCTCCATGGCTTCCCCTATGGAGGATCTTCGCTGGACGAGCAGGTATTTCCCCCATTGGAACATATTGACAGGTTATCAGTGCTTTTTTTTTTTTTTTTCTTGATGATGATTTCACTTAACAGCAATTTGCCTGGAACGCATTATCGTCGTCAAGCGGGGCACCACTTTGCAAGAAAACTGTCTTGATCTAGAGTTCCTGTGTTCTCATGCATAATCCTTCAAATCATCTTAGTTACTAGGCACAGAAAAGACGCCTACAAGCTTGCTTCCAAGAAACATTTCAAAATCTTCATAGTGTGACCAAGAGAGGTACGACCTATAAGACTGTAACATCATTGTAATTGATATTCAGAACACACGTTAATTAATGTAGCTAGTGCTTCAGTTTGCACCATGCTTTCTGCATAGATTTGTGTTTTTTTAAACCTTTCTTCCCAAAATGCAGCTCACAACAGTTTTTCTATTGTTTATGAAGTCTATGCAGATGTACGAATGCACGGGGATCTTGCTTTCTAATTACACCCATGGTCTACATTTCTCTCTCTTTTTTGGGGTGTGTGTGATTTAAATCAATACGCTTGTGCACGCTGCAAGTTGCCAGCCTGAAATATTTTTCAGGGTTAATGGCAGAATAACAACAAGGTGGCCGGCTCCTTTCATGGGGGAGTCCTGGCACCGAGCACTCCAACACACGGGCTGGACCAGCTCTAAATTATTGTCGAAAAGCACTGTATTGTACCCTCTCCTGATACTGCTGAATAAAGAATCAAAGAGGGCTGAATATGACTTGTGTGTCTGATAATCAGGGGAGGTCCCACCACCCTCACAGATGCATTTGGTGGGGACATGGGAGAGGGCCTTCCCTGTGGTTGCTCCCAGAGACTGCGGAACTCCCTCCCACTGGAGGCCAGCCTGCCCCCCGTCTTGGCTCTCCTTCCGCAAGCAGATGAAAGACCTTTCTCTTCAGGCAGGCTTTTTTAATTGACTGCCTGCCTGAGTGGGTTTATTGAAATGCACTGTTGTTTACAATGTGTTTCAGGGCTGATTTTATTTGCTGTTTTCAATAACTTGTTTACTTCTTTCTTAAACTTTTAAATATTGTAATTCCTGTCTTAGCTTTTCAATATCGTCTTTTCAATGATACAAGCTGCCTTGGGTCCTTTTTTGAAAGGTGATAAGGTGGGATAAAAACATTTTAAATGAACAAACAAATCAGGGTATGCCATTGGAATGTGAGCAGGTGTGTGTGGGGGAAAATGTCTCAAAATCAGAGCAAACAGCCGACATCTGTACACGCCGGTTCTGTTTTTGTTTTGCTGCAGGGGATGTATAAATACCTTGAGAAATGCTTTTCAGACTTCAAGCAACGAGGTTTTGTTGTCGGATACGACACCCGAGGCCAGGTGGCCAGCAGCTGCAGCAGCGTAAGGTAGGACTTCAGTCCAGGTGGAAAACACTGGTCAGAAGAAAAAGGCCAGTCTCTCCTGTAGAGTCAGATTTTATAATTTGAGGATGAAAAAAGGTGGAAGATATATACTGAAAATGAGACCTAACCTGAAAATAAGCCCTAGTTTGATTTTTCAGGATGCTCGTCATAGAAGCCCTACCCAAAAAATAAGCCCCAGTTAAGTGAAACCCCGACCACCTCCACTCTTGTGCAGCAACCAGAAGAAATTGGCATGACTGTATTTGAATCTATGTTGATGGTTTTACATGACAAAAATGAAACATCCCCTGAAAATAAGCCCTAATGCGTTTTTTGGAGCAAAAATTAATAGAAGACCCTGTCTTATTTTCGGGGGAACACGGTCGCTGCCTGAAACCGAGTGTTACAGAGAGCCTTGGACCCATTTCTGTTTTCGGTCCCTTGTTCAGACATGTATCTGATGCTTCCCATGGCACTTAGATCTGTCACAGTGGCCTGCCTCTTTTCACCCAGGCAAATGTAAACATCATTTAATGAACCGTTTTATACTCTGATGCTGTTACATCAAAGCTAAAGACATATAAGACCCCAGTATCTGTGGGGGATTAGTTCCAAGCGCCCCCCATGGATGCTGAAAAACATTGAAATAATGAATCCTATACATTGGGACGTGGGTGGCTCTGTGGGTTAAACCGCAGAAGCCTCTGTGCTGCAAGGTCAGAAGACCAGCAGTCGTAAGATCGAATCCACGAGACGAGTGAACTCCCATCGCTCCTCCCAGCTCCTGCCAACCTAGCCGTTCGAAAGCATATAAAAATGAGAGTAGATAAATAGGGCCCACCTCGATGGGAAGGTCACGGCATTCCGTGTCTAGTCGCACTGGCCACGTGACCATGGAAACTGTCTACAGACAAATGCTGGCTCTACGGCTTGGAGACGAGGATGAGCGCCGCGCCTGTCCTAGAGTCGGACACGACTGGACTCAATGTAAAGGGGAACATTTACCTTTACTTTTACCTTTACCTTTATACATTGCATGGTCTCTGGCTCCCTCTAGTGCCCAGTTCTTTGAAATAAACCCTAGAAATACAGTGGTGGCTTGCATAACGAGCGCACCGTTTAACGATGAATCCGCATAGCGATCAATTTTTTTAGATCGCTAATGCGATCGCATTGTGATGTTTTAATGGGCAAAACATCCAATTGCGATGATCGGTAAGCGTTTCGCTTACCGATCTTTGCATTGCAATGTTTCTAAAACAGCTGATCAGCGGTTCCAAAATGGCCGCCAGGTGCCCAAAATGGCCACCGCAACCATTTTTGCGCCCTGCCCTTGGTAAAATGGGCGCGAAAATGGCGGCGCTATGGAGGATCTTTGCTGAACGGTGAGTTTGGGCCCCATAGGAACGCATTAAACCAAGTTTAATGCGTTTCTATGGGGTTTTTCGATTCGTTTAGCGATTTCTGCATAGCGACAATTAGTCCGGAACTGATTAACATCGCTATGCAGGGCACCACTGTACATATAAATACTACATATTTGGGTTTTTTTTTATTTAGTATTTTCAGGCATGGATAAGTGAATCAGTGGACACCGATCCCAGGGATAGGGGAGGTCCTTCTGTCATTTACCCTTCATGCGAAGAAGCTCCTTCTAACCCTCCAAGCCGTTTTGTGACAGAAAGTGGCTTGGTCATTAGGAGAGCTGTGTAAAATAAAAAGTTTCTGCACCTTATTGTATTTTTCTTTTTTTCTCTGGTATCATGCTCAGATGTTTTCGTGGCTTAGGACTTGGGGGGGGGGAAGTGGCACTGGGCAGTCAGGCCACGTCATCGTTCCTTCTGTTTCGTAGGCTTGCCAAGCTGACGGCGGCTGTCCTGCTGGCTAAGGGCGTCCCGGTCTACTTGTTCTCCAGATACGTGCCGACTCCATTTGTGGTAGGTGCCTGGCGCTTCATTACCTCTCCATTTCTAGGCAGCAGGCTCTAAAAAAAACAGGTGCATTGCGAAATGTTTTGCAACCCAGTTGTGGGACGACTTAAATGAAGATTCTGCATGCTGAGCTGGCTTGCTATAAGGCCAGCATCTTCATGTGCTAATGAAGCTGGGGTGGGCTTCATGGTCTCTTATCAGAGCAAATGTCTGTCCGCCATGCGATTGGTCAGATGATACAGTAAGACGCCTGTATCCGTGGGGATCGGTTCCAACCCCCTCTACCGTGGATGCTTTAAAAATGTGAATTACGGAAAACACTATTTCAAGAATGAACCCTATAGATGGCATGCTCTCTGCTTCCCTCAAATGGCTAGTCCTGGGAATGGCTTCATGGAAATATATTTCTCAAGAAAGCGCTATACATAACATGGTCTCTGCCTCCTTCTAGTTATTTATTATATTTATATCCTGCCTGTCTGGTCGTTGCGAGCACTCTAGGTGACTTACAGACACGTAATACAACAAAAAATAATAAAAAAAGAGTTATTACATTAAATAGCCAATACTTCAAGATGTGAAAGAAAAAATGAAAGATAAATCACAAAAAAGAGGAAAGAATCAGATATTAACTGGAGGGGAAGGCCTGCCTGAACATCCATGTTTTTAAAAATACCCAGTGAGGAGGCCCTGCGAATCTCTGGGAGCAGATTGTTCCAGAGGCGAGGAGCCACCACCGAGAAGGCCCGGTTTCTTGTTTTTTCTTTCCAGGCCTCCCTCTGCGCCAGGCTCCTCAGCCTCACCTCTTGACTCGCTCGAGTGACACGGGTAGAACTTGTTGGGAATAGGCGTTCCGCCAAGTATCGAGGCCCTAAACCGTTTAGGGCTTTGTACGTAAGCCTGAAGACTTTGAAGTCGATGCGGAACCAAATGGGCAGCCAGTGCAGTGCGGCCAGAGTGGGCGAGATATGTTGGTATTTTCTCGCTCCACTAAGGAGTCTGACCGCCACATTCTGCACCACCTGCACCACTCTAGTGGCCAAATCTAGTGACTTCCTTGTTAGAAATACATATTTATAGAAGGTTTCTTGTAATATATTCGCGAAGGCTTTCACGGCCAGGATCTAATGGTGTTTGTGGGTTTTTCGGGCTCTTTGGCCGTGTTCTGAAGGTTGTTCTTCCTGACGTTTCGCTAGTCTCTGTGGCCGGCATCTTCAAAGGACAGGAGACGGAACTCTGTCTGTGCTCTGGTGTAGTTTGTGGGATAGTTGAGTATTTATAGCTGTGGGATCAGCTCTTTGTCCTTTTCAGGAGATTGGGTGACTATGGTGATCATCTCTCCCCCTTATCACAATACACCCACAACAAAAAAAACCACGCTGATCACCATAATTACCTCGTCTCCTGAAGAGGACAAAAAGCTGATCCCACAGCAGCAAATACTCATCCATCCTACAAAACTGCACCAGAGCAGAGACAAGAGTTCTGACTCCTGTCCTCTGAAGATACCGGCCACAGAGACTAGCAAAATGTTAGGAAGAAAAAACTTAGGAACACAGCCAAACTACCTGGAAAACCCACAACAACCATTTCTTGTAATGGTTTAAATATTTCCAGACCATGAATAAACAAATCAGTGGATACTGGTCCCGTGGATAAGGGAGTCCTTCTGTATATTCTATAGCTAGTGAGTGTTTTCTGCTAGAGTAGGAATACATTCCTTGTGTCCCTGTTTTAAAGCTGGTCTTGCTGCTGTTTGCAAGTCAGATGTGTTTTATGCCCGCTGAAGTCTTCATGACCCCTTGCAGTAATAATTTATATTCTCATTAGAAATTGAAGAAATAGCACGGTGAAAGAAGAGCATTTACTGGAAAAGCCTGAGGACTATGCTTAGAAATGGAAGAAATAGCACTGTGAAAGAAGAGCATTTACTGGAGAAGCCTGCTCTTCTCCAGTTACTATTCTTTGTGTCCGTTTATTTCTGAACTCGTGAGAAGTTAAAATCAGGGAGTCCTTCTGTATATTCTATAGCTAGTGAGTGTTTTCTGCTAGAGTAGGAATACATTCCTTGTGTCCCTGTTTTAAAGCTGGTCTTGCTGCTGTTTGCAAGTCAGATGTGTTTTATGCCCGCTGAAGTCTTCATGACCCCTTGCAGTAATAATTTATATTCTCATTAGAAATTGAAGAAATAGCACGGTGAAAGAAGAGCATTTACTGGAAAAGCCTGAGGACTATGCCTGCTCTTCTCCAGTTGCTGCTCTTTGTGTCCGTTTACTTCTGAACTCGTGAGAAGTTAAAATCAGGGCTTGTGATTAAGAAAGATGAAGAGACCTGCCATCCCGAGAAGACCTTTGGTCTAGATGGGCGGGGTAGAAACCCAATAGAATAAAATAAATAAAAATAAGTTAAGAAAACTGCCTGGCTGGGCGCTCCCCGCAAACTTCCAGACTCCTGTTCTAGGTTTGCAGCCCTGTGTGCCGTATGGCTCGCTGCTTTTAAAAGTCATCGTCAGGCAGCGTGGAGTGAGGTCTGTGCACTGATTGCTAGAGTACGGCCAAAGCCTTGCTTTTGAGATGCCTAAAGTTCCTAGTCCTTGGGGGGCCTGAGCCGACAGCGGAGGAATACACACACAAGACTGTTTGAAAATCCAAGCACCTGGGCAAACTTCTGCCTTATCCCCGCGCGCTGCCATCGTGCAGCTTCTGCGTAACTGCGCTCTCAGAAGGATGCTGAGATCACATTCGTACACCTACGAACAATGGCCTTGAGTTCCCGAACATTTGTAGCAATTGTGTATGGATTTTGCCTGCCAAGAAGAGGCTCCTTTTGGAATGTCTTAAAAAGACTGCTTTAGCCTAGCAGCTATTGCTCATTCGTGACTCTTGATCTTTAAAAAGGTCGTACAGAATGGTGGTTAGTTTCTTTTATTTGCTTTTATTTGCAATCATTCAGTGTTTTACATCCAGTCATCTTAACGTTCTCCTTTTATCAGTTGTATGAATACGTGGCGTGTCTTTTTTCTTTCTTTCTTCCCCTTTCCGAGGGGTGCTTTCAGAACCCCTGGCAAGCTAGAAGAAACATGATTTTTGTCTTGCAGCCCTACGCCGTTCAGCAGCTCGGAGCGGTAGCGGGTGTGATGATCACAGCTTCCCACAACCGGAAGGAAGACAACGGGTACAAGGTTTGTGTAGAGAGCTGGTTTCTAACAATGACCCTCTCGGCCGTTCGCGAAAGTCTCGAAGGAGAAATGCTTCAATCCGAGGGAGCACATCGGCCCTTCCCAACCTGATTCATGCCCAAACGAGGGCACCCGGATTGTTGTTCAAACCAGCCTGTGCTGTTTTGGGAACAGTACGACCTGGTCCCGGGGGGGGGCGTCCATGCACCTATCTTCGTGTTCTTGGATCTCCACGAAAACCCCACACTCTCCCCCTTGCAGATCTCCTTGGATCGCAGCTGTGGTCTCCCTCTGGGGCGATTGCCCTGCACTCATTCTCCATCCAGGAGATCTTTTGGAATCCGACCGTCAGCCATTCTCACGACATGCCCAACAATACCAGTCAATCCTTCTGTAATTTTGATAGACGGTGCCTGATGTTTTTGAATCATCATGGTCATCATCTCAGAACTGCCTAGTTGTAAGGGACCCTATAGATCATCCAGACCACCCCCCTTCAAGGAGGCCCCGTGGAGGAATCAAACTCCCCACCTCTGGCTCCCCGGCCAGAGACCTCAACCCCTGAACTGCCCAACCCATCTGTTCCTTGTTCTTACACGCCAACTTACCGAGTCGTTCCTTACCTGTATTTTCTAGTCTTCCTTCTGGGCCCGCTGCTCTGGGCTACAGTGCCATTTATGAGGAAATGGGGCTTTTGGGTGAGAGCCAATGAAAACGCGTGCATTCATTTTTGTCGTCTTCTGTTGCTTTCCAGAAGAGAGCTTTGGAAATGCTAAAAGAGGCATCTTGATGAATGAGAGGGACACAGGACAATGGAACTTCCCTCGTTAGTCGCCTTCACTGTCCCCCATATGTACATTAATTCAACTTTCCTAGATGGTCTATCAGCCTGCAGGCTGGTTATTCCCCCCTCTCCTTGTCTAGCCGCTGCTGTGGGCCTCCTGTGTGTTGAATATTGATGTGCTTGGAGTGGATGTGCGGCTGCTTAGCGCACAGAGCGGAACTTAAAGGCTACCTTCTAGAAGAGTCACTGGGGCGCTGAACTCTCCTGACCCCCCCCCTTCCTGCTTTAGGTGTACTGGGAAAACGGTGCTCAGATCACGTCACCCCATGATAAGGAGATCCTGAAATGCATCGAAGAGTGCGTCGAGCCCTGGTCGGATTCCTGGAACGAGAATCTGGTGGAGAGCAGCCCTCTGGCCCGGGACCCTCTGCAGCAGATCTGCGCAAGCTACATGGAGGACCTGAAAAAGATCTGTTACCACAGGTGAGGAGCATCCAAAAAATGGAAACGGGCAAGCATTCCGGTCAAGCGGGCTGGGGTGCGCGGGGAGGTTTTGGGTTGAAGAAGGCTGGAGAGATGAGGCAAGGGCTTCTCTGATCGGCCTGGGTTTTATAAGCTGCCCCTTTACTTACTTACTTACTTACTTACTTACTTACTTACTTACTTACTTACTTACTTACTTACTTACTTACTTACTTACTTACTTACTTACTTACTTACTTACTTACTTACTTACTTACTTACTTACTTACTTACTTACTTACTTACTTACTTACTTACTTACTTACTTACTTACTTACTTACTTACTTACTTACTTACTTACTTACTTACTTACTTACTTACTTACTTACTTACTTACTTACTTACTTACTTACTTACTTACTTACTTACTTACTTACTTACTTACTTACTTACTTACTTACTTACTTACTTACTTACTTACTTACTTACTTACTTACTTACTTACTTACTTACTTACTTACTTACTTACTTACTTACTTACTTACTTACTTACTTACTTACTTACTTACTTACTTACTTACTTACTTACTTACTTACTTACTTACTTACTTACTTACTTACTTACTTACTTACTTACTTACTTACTTACTTACTTACTTACTTACTTACAATCGGCTCCAGTAGGGCCACAGCATTATTCTGGGTGGTTTACATTGTAAAATGTGGTAGAACAAATGAATGAAATAGAATGTAAAATCATGTATAATTATATGTATATAAAATCATATATAATCAATATGATCAAAATATATATTAAAACATTAATATAGAGAGACAAGCGAAAATTAGATCAGCCTTAGGCTACGATGGCACAGCATTTCAAACGAGGCAGCTGGGCTAGAGGGATTAAATAAATAAATAAATAAAAAATCAGGGGGAATGACAGTCAAGAGGCCTTCTGGAAGATAAGCATCTTCTTCAGTTGCCTCTTAAAGCTGGGGAGGGGGGGACCAAGCACAGCTCAGCCAGGAAACGATTTCAGAAAGCTGGTGCCACGGCCGAGAAGGGCCCGACTTCTCCCTGAAGATCTCCAGGCCTCCTTTGGAGTGACCACCCTTGAGGAGCATCGCCTGCGAGGATCTTTTGGACTCCCATGTGAGCACAGAAAAGCAACTGGGTGTCCTCCAGAGGTTGGCTCTCTAGCATCCCTAAACCGTAGCCCGAGGAGTCAGGGATTCTAGTCTAAAGCACTGGCTCCCAACCTTGAATCCCCCGGAGTTTCTTGGACGGCAGCTCCCAGAAATCCTGGCCAGCCCAGCGGGTGGTGAAAAGGCTTCTGAGAATTGCAGTCCAAGAACATCTGGGGACTCTAAAGTTGAGAACCATTGCTTTCAAGCATCTGAAGGAGGTCCTCTCTGCTTCCCGGCGTCGAGATGATCCTGAAGAGTGTGTCGCTGATTGTCTATATAGACAGTGTGTCTGGTGCAGAGTCCAGAACAATGGGCCGCACCTTGAGGCACCCCGGGAGTAAATACTGAAATCTCCCCGAGTCGCCACCCTGGTGTTTTCCAGCATGATGTGGCCAGCTGGGCTGACATGATCGGTGGTGGTGATTTTGTGCTGTCGAGGGGCTTCTGACTTATGCTGACCCTCACAGGGTTTTCAAGATTTGCGAGATGTTCAAAGGGTGCTTTGGCCACGGCGGCCCCCGACAGGCCGCTCAGTCCTAAGGTTCCCCAAAGTTTGGGGTGACTGGACAGCGTAAAACAGCATCGGCAGGAGCTTCCACGATGGAGGGAGCCTTTGAATCCTTTTAAGCCTGGGTCCCGCGCTCTGTCCACTACACCAGAAGGATGTGTACACCATCTGAATCCCTGTTTCTCCGGCTCACTGCTGGAAATATTCAGAGGCTCTGTGTATGCTCGGACGAGGGATTTCTTACGAGTGACCAAGGGCGGCCGCTCCTCTTCCCTGGCGCTTACGTTGGAAGAATCCATCAAGCCAGTTGAACATGGTGGGCTTGTTCTGCTCCACTCCTTTCATGCACCGAGACTGCAGTTGTTTGAGCCAGATTGGGCTTTATTCTGTCCAGTTATGCATATTTATCTGTAGGAAGGGAGAGACCCCCTTTTTCCTGTCAAAAGCTGTGCCTGCCGGTGGCTGGGGCCAGCATTAGAAGTGGGCCAAGCGAACCACCGTGACACTTTTCCATCTCTTGCTGGTTTGGGATTCCCTCCACTGGTTTTTTATTTTATTATTTCTTTTATTTCAATTTTTTTTACCTCGCCTTTCTCCTTAAAAGGACCCAAGGTGGCTTACAGCCCTTAAAAAGACAGCTAAAAACAGTAAGTATACAAATATCAAAAAGAAGAATCATCATCAAAACAGGTATTATATTAAAAAGCATCAATAAAACCAATACTAAAAACATATTTAAAACCACAGAGCACAACAGTCCATTTAAAAAACATTTGGAGGGAACAACTTACCTCCGGAGATTCACGCAGCTCCCTCGCTGGATATTTTCAAGAAACAACTGAAAGCATGGATGTTTAGGCAGGCCTTCCCTCCCCCCCAGTTAACTCCTAATTTTTCTTCCCTCCTCTCTGTTATAACATACTCTGTTTTCTTGCCATCTTTCTTTTCTTTTTTTCCTAATTTATGAAAATTACGTTATATGTTATGTTATATATATACTTGTTTTATTTTGTGTGTTGTAAGCCGCCTAGAGTGGTCGTAATTGACCAGATAGGCAGGGTATAAGTGGAACGAACGAACGAATGAACGAACGAATGAACGAACGAACGAACGAACGAACAAGACCTCCAGAAAGAGTCCGGAGGTTTTGAATAAGGGTCTCCTGGAATGATCAAATAGGAAACGGAAGCTGTCCTTGGCAGGCACTGTGAAACTGCAGCCCCTGCTCTCCATCTCCGTAGGGGTCTTGCCACCGAAAAGCTTTCTGAAAAAAATAACACGAGTATGGTAGAGGAACAGACGAGCAGCCATGTGTGGGAAAAGGGGAGGGGGAGTGGACACCGCACATGGGCCCCCAGTCACGGGGTTTTGCCCACCCTCCCAGCGGAAGGAGGCAGGGGCGAGCTCTGGGAGGTTCTGTCTGTTCGATGGACACTCATCTCCTGGGAGGGAGGCCACCTCTCTTTGGGAAGAACGTACGAATCCATTGTGTTGTTTCCTCTGTAGGGAGCTGAATGCAAAGACTCGTCTGAAATTTGTTCACACGTCTTTCCACGGCGTTGGGCACGAATACGTGCAGCTGGCGTTCCAGGCCTTCGGCTTCCAGCCGCCCATTCCGGTCCCCGAACAAAAAGATCCGGATCCAGACTTTTCCACGGTGAAGTGCCCAAACCCAGAAGAAGGGGAATCTGTGCTGGTAAGTGAGTCGGAGGGCTTTGGCCCTCCTGTGGCGTGGGCACACGAGGTTGCCTTTCTTGCACCCCTTGTGGAAGCAGGACGAGGCCTCCTTCTGTCTCGAGAGACGATGGTAAGGTGGTCTGAATGGAGGACTTGGACAGCGTCTGGTCTGGCTGAGGAGGCCACTTTGAGAGTGACAGTCCCTTCCACACTGGAGACAAATCTAATCTGTCCCCTGTCCAGCTCCCTGATTTTCCTGCTTTTGTGACTTCCTCTTTGCCTCGGCCTGTTGGGCAAGGGTCTTTTCAAATTGGGAGAGGCTGTGATGCACCGCCTGCCTCCAGGCTGAACGGTCAGTTGTCAGGGTTTCCTATCTGTTGAGGTCTATTCCTAAGGCCTTCAGGTCCCGCTTGCAGACATCCTTGTATCGCAGCTGTGGTCTCCCTCTGGGGCGATTTCCCTGCACTAATTCTCCATACAGGAGATCTTTTGGAATCCGGCTGTCAACCATCCTCATGACGTGCCTGAGCCAACATAGACGTCGCTGTTTCAGTAACATATACATGCGAAAAATTCCAGCTTGTTCCAGGACTACTCTATTTGGAACTTTGTCCTACCAGGTGATACAAAAAATGCATCGGAGACAACGCATATGGAAGGTGTTCAGTTTCCTCTCCTGGACTCACTGCAGTACAGGAGTGTGCTTAGGACACAGGCTCTATAGACCTGGATCTTCGTATGTGTCGTCAGCTTCTTATTGAGCCATACTCTCTTTGTGAGTCTAGAGAACATGGTGGCTGCTTTGCCAATGCGTTTATCCAGCTCGACATCTAGAGAGAGGGTGTCCGAGATGGTTGAGCCGAGGTACACAAAGTCATGAACAATCTCCAATTCTTGTGTGGAGATGGTAATAGAAGGAGGTGAGTCCACGCCCTGGCCCATGACTTGTGTTTTCTTCAGGCTGATTGTTAGTCCAAAGTCTTAGCAGACCTTGCTGTAACAATTCATGAGTTGTTGGAGGTCTTCAGCAGAGTGGGCAACGATGGCTGCATCATCTACGAAGAGGAAGTCCCGCATGCATTTCAGTTGGACTTTGGTCCTTGCTCTCAATCTAGAGAGATTAAAAAAGGTTAGCTTAGGTGGTATTTGGACTAAAGATGGGCATGAATCACAGTTTGTTTTTCTGGCCGAACAGCCGATCCGTGGTTTTGTGCCCTGCCGCCTCCGGTGGATGCCCAATGGAGGGGGCAGGGGTCCGAACCCCAGATCAGCTGTTTTGGCCAGGAAACGAACTACACCGAACCGCCAGACCAGTGGTTCGTGCCCATCTCTTGTTTGGACCCAATGACCCTTAAAGTTTTGTTTCTACTACTGCAGGATCAACGAATCCTGTAACCAGAGCAATTTGGCTTTAATCAGAGCGGTTGAATCCGACAGGCAGCTTTGCCCTGATTAAAAGGAATCCGTGGCTTCTTGCAGGAGCTCTCTTTGCGTCTGGCAGAAAAAGAAGGGGCCCGGGTGGTGGTCGCTACCGATCCCGACGCTGACCGGCTCGCTGTGGCGGAACGCCAGGAGAAGTAAGTGGCAGACCCTTTGCTGAAACCCCGGGGGTGTGTGTGTGAATTAGAAAGAAAGAAACAAACGAACAAGAACCTTGTTCCTGCTCGTGTCTCTTGAGGTGTGCTCTTTGGTCCTTGTGAATCTTTCCGTGCTTAAGTCAATGTGTTTAAATAAACCGGTAAGGTAGGAAAAAGGACCTTTGTGTGCTTTGGCACTAAAAATGTAGGTCGCTTCCATTGCTTCAAATATTTCGGGAATTAAGGTGTTGGAAAGGAGAGTCCAATCCTCAAATTGCAGTTCGGGCTAAGAGTACGGTAGGGGACCCTCTCTTTCACTGGACCGGTATCCGCGGACTCACTTTTCTGAGACTATTAAATAAAAAATCCATGGTGTGTTGACCGGAGCGAGCCACGAGAGGGAGCCAGAGACCATGTTCTATACCAGTGATGGCGAACCTTTTTGAGCCCGAGTGCCCAAACTGCAACACAGAACCGACTAATCTATTTCAAAGTGCCAACAGTGCAATTAAAACTGAATACTGTACTGAGGTTTTAGTTTATAAAAAACAACTGCCCCTACACTGCAAGGATTAAATGCTTGGGTTTCCCCCCCCCAGGGGCGGTATTAACAGAGAAATACCAGTCCTCCAACCCCTCTCCCCATCTGATTAGATCAGTAATGGCCACCGTTGCACCCCTCCGCTGGACCACTGCACCAGCAGAGGGGAGTGCCAAAATCCAGGATCAGAGGATGGATAAGTATTTCTCAATGGCAACTTATGGCTCGCGTGCCCACAGAGAGGGCTTTGCATGCCAGTTGTAGCATACGTCCCATAGGTTCGCCATCACTGGTCTATACAATGTCGTGTTCACACCTTCCACTACTATTTTCCTACACACCAGAGTCCTTGCAGAGTTGTGGTCCTCTTTTTATTCCCCCTCCTCTTACTCGCCTTCCTTCACTCTGTTAATTCCCTCCCCCCCTCATTCTAGGGAAGTGGTGGTTCTTTCAGTTCCACTCCGTGTAGAGCCGTGTGCAAATTTGCTCCAGGCGAGTGTGTTTGTGAGTGTTTAAGGACCTCCTGAACACATCACCTGTGGCCAAACCCCGTTTTCTGGGGAGTGGAAAAAGGTGCCCTGAGCAAGCAGATTGTCCGCTCCTTCCTTGCTTCAGAGAGAGATAGGAAGGAAGGAAGCCAGGTTTAGGTGGAATATCATGAAAAGCTTCCTAATCGTACAAGAGTGGGAGGCGGTGAGGGTTCCAACGCTGTAGGCCTTCAGGAGAAAAAAAACGAGACAGTCTCTCCGTCCGATCTGCTTGGATTGGGATTCCTGCCATGGAACAGGAGGGTTGGACTGGATGTCCTTAGAGGGCCCCTTCCCACTCCACGATTCTAGGATTCTCGTGGCTGTTCCTGCTCCTTTGGCTCTCTTGACGCTTGTCCTCCTCTTTCTGCAGCGGTGACTGGAAGGTCTTCAGTGGCAATGAACTGGCAGCTTTGTTCGGCTGGTGGATGTTTACCTGCTGGAAGCAGAACTGTCCCAAAGAGGCCAACGTCAAGGATGTTTACATGATGGCAACCACAGTCTCTTCGAAGATCCTGAAGGCCATTGCGGTCCGGGAAGGGTTTCACTTTGAAGTAAGGGATCCGTAGCGTCTTATCCCCTCCTTTCCGCCGAGCCTCCGCACGCAAGCGTGGAGCCATGCTCTTGGCTCCACTGCAGATGGGCGCCTTTTCTGTCTTCGTGACTGAGCCCAGATGCACTCTGCGGTTCTTTTTTGCTAGCTCTGGCTGCCCTCTGCAGAGCCTCCAGGAGCCCAGCGGCGGTGCGGCCCCTTCCAGAGAGAATCTGTCCTTCTGCTCCTCCGCTTTTCACTTTCAGCCTTCCCTTGCAGTGTGATTGATCTCTTGCATGCCTTTGGTTAACCATTATCCACGACAGTCAGAATCCTGTTGGCTGTTTATGTATGTCTAAGAGAAAACATGGACATGACTACCTTGCTAGCTAGCCAAGTGATTTTCCATATATTCTCTTCCATCCATGTAAGTAACTAGCAAGATTTTGGCCTACTAGCCTTTGCAACATGCATACAGCAAACAATTGGTTTTCTTAAGGTGCCTTTTCTCTTGGTCGAGATGTGGAGTTGGAAAATTGACACACACACACACACACACAAACACACCATTATCATCATCATTATTATAGAAAAATGCAAATATAAAATTCTTGGGCAATTCTTTCTGGACTTCCAGGGCCAATTGTTTTTCAGCCAGAGAGCTGTCATGAATTTATCTGTGACCCGTGAGCCCATTTTATAATATGTTTTTAAGAATGGACCTTTTTTTCATCCATGGACTCCAGAAGTGGTCATTCTTTCTCAACCAGCCGTAAGGGCTAGTTTGAGTTAGGGAGACGTTGGCTCAACCGATGGAATCGGTGACTCCGGTTTCCTCCATTGACAATAATTCCATACCATCAATTCGCTTCCAAGTTATGGCTACCCTTTCCAAGGTTTCCTAGGCAGAGAGAGAGAGAGGACTCGGAGGGGGTTTCCCCTTCCTTTCTTCCGAGGTTGCCCTGGGATCACCAGTGGCCCGAGGCCACCCCAGCTGGCTCTTCTCTCTGAAGGTGCACCATGGGGGAATTGAACTCCCAACCTCTGGCCTTCACTACCAGGTGCCCAGCTCACTGAGCTATCCAGCCAGCGGTGATGCAACAATTAGGCTTGGATTAAAAAAAGCATGTTGCTCTGCCCGCTTTCTCCCCTTAGCCCTACTGGAGGGTCAGCCCCAAGGAAATGGGGATGGTTGGGCTGAAAAGCATTTCCCACTCAAGGGGTTGGGAGTTCCTCTGCTCTGACTTCGAAGGAGGCTGGCTTCTACGCGGGCTTGGGCTGGGCCGTAGCTGCTCTCGGGCCCTGCAGGATTTCGCCTCAGTTGGCGCAAGAGCTTGCTACCGGAAGGCCTCTGGGAGAACGAGCCCCATTGTGAAATCGGCTTGGCAGTCTCTGCCATACCGCGAGAGTATTCTGTATTTAGAGGAGGTGCCTTGTTCCCTTGCTCGTTTCAGGACACCCTCCCTGGCTTCAAGTGGATTGGCAGCCGAGTGAAGGACCTGCTGGACAAGGGGAAGGAAGTGCTCTTAGCCTTTGAAGAATCCATCGGTAAGCCGGCTGGCAGACGGACCTTGGTGGCGGGTTCTTCTTCGTGCCCTCTGTGAATCACCCACCCTGGGTGATTTGCGCCTGCGTGGAGCCTCATCGAAAGATTCTGGAGCTTCTGCAGTAGCAGTGAACACATTAGAATAAGGCCCCCTCCCCACCCGTAGAAGGACCTTGGCGCTGAAAGATGCCTATTTACTCATCTTATTCGTTTCCTACCCTCTGTGCAGAGACATTCAAAGCTCTTTAAAAATACGTATTTGTATACCCACTGTTTTTAGCTTTTATCTAGGGCCTTTTAATTGTTGTAAGCTGCCTTGGGTCCTTTTAAGCAGGGTGAGGTAAAAAATCTTTTAAATAGATTAGATTATGCATCATTCATCTCGATAGACGATGGTCACGTGCTCTGAATGGAGGACTTGGAACAGCGTCTGGTGTGGCTGAGAAGGCCAATTCGAGAGTGACCATCCCTTCCACACTGAAGACAAAAACAATCTGTCCCCTGTCCAGCTCCCTGGTTTTGCTGGTTTTGGGACTGCCTTTTTGCCTCGGCCTGCTGGACGAGGGTCTCTTCAAATTGGGAGAGGCCATGATGCACCGCCTGCCTCCAGGCTGAATGCTCAGATGTCAAGATTTATTTTATTTATTTATTTATTTATTTATTTATTTATTTATTTATTTATTTATTTATTTATTTATTTAATTTACCTGCACTCATTCTCCATACATACACTCAGAGGTCAAGGTTTCCCAATAAAGCTGCCTTCTAGAAATACGTTAACGACATGTATTGTGATAAAATGCTGGTTCTGAGAACGGATTGTGCTCCTGTTTGCAGGCTTCATGTGTGGGACGTCGGTGTTGGATAAAGACGGTGTAAGCGCAGCCGTGGTAATCGCCGAAATGGCAACCTATCTAGACACCAAGAACCAAACGCTGGCCCACCAGTTAACAGAAATATTTAAAACGTAAGTCAGGATGCGTGAATGAGAGAAACTGAAAAGAGAACTTGGCATCATAACGATTCTGTGAGGTAGGCGAGACGGTGGCGCTCTGCGTCGTATGAATGCCGTGGGACTGGAGAGAAGGCCGTGGGTGGGGTGGAGCCTAACCGACGGAAGCAGAATCTCTGTAAGGAGCGTACGCTGGAAGGAGGTGGGTTCCGGAGTCTTGGAAATGCGTGGCTGTCCTGTTTTGAAAGGGATTGGAAGCTGATGGTGGTTGTTTTTTTCGGGCTGTTTGGCTGTTTTCTGAAGGTTGTTCTTCCTAACGTTTCGCCACTCTCTGTGGCCGGCCTCTTCAGAGGACAGGAGTCAGAATGCTGTCTGTGTTCCAGCTCTGGCTGAACGGCCATCTCCCAAGCTATATTTATAGCTATATACCTGGTAGAGGAATACAAGAAAATGGGGTTATTTTTTAGCTGCCGTGTTTTCCTGAAAATAAGACAGAGGCTTATATTAACTTTTGCTCCAAAAACTACACTAGGGCTTATTTTCATGTACAACCATCTACATTTATTCAAAGACTGCCATGTCCTCTTCTTCTGGCTGCTGACGACTGTATTGGATATATATTGATATGTATTGATATGAAAAAGGAGGATATATATTTTTCCAACAGAAATAAAAGGAAGCCCTGTCTCTTCTTATGTTAGACTGCTTGAGTTTTAAGATTGCCAGCGGTTTCCTTCAGCCGCCCTTCTGACTCACAGAGATAATCAACAACAGCATCTTTTTCAAGAGAGCGAGTGGTGCGAGGATGCGGCAGAAAAAAAAAAAGCTAATGCAGTCTTCAGCTGCCTCAACAGGAGTTTAGTGTACTCTGCCACCTCAAAATCCAGAAAGGGTTAAGGACCATATTCTATTTTGTATAAGTAAAAGAACTGGCTTTGAAGAGTAGATTTGGGGTTAATATGTATGTTTCCTGTGTTTTTGAGGGGCCTGAGGGATAAGATAACCAGGGAAAAAGTCATTGAGGTCATAGAGTTATAGAGATTATGGTTGGCTGAATATTACCCCTTTGATGGTGGTCATGACTTAGCTTTCTGTAGTTCCCCTAAGGACCGAATCCAGGTGTAACAAAGCCTTCCATTTCTAACTTTATCCTGTCTTTTTTTGCAGGTACGGCTACCACTTTTCCAAGACCTCTTACTTCCTCTGTTATGATCCTCCTACGATCAAGAAGATCTTTGACCGGCTTCGGAACTTTGACGGACCTCATTCGTACCCTGCCTTTTGTGGCGCTTACAGTATTTTGGACATCCGGGATGTGACCACCGGGTATGACAGCAGCCGGCCGAACAAGAAGTCGGTGAGTCGTGTGGCTCTCCGTGGGGAAGGGCTGCCAGCCGTGCGGCCACCTTTGGGGTGAACCCTTCCCCCTCCCCATTCAGCCTTGCCCCTTGAGTCTAAAATGGGCAGATTGGCATTAAACGGGTTGGCATTTCATGAATCTCTGAAGGGACCACAGCCCCCACCGGTTGTGTGAAACTTCAGCAGGTGCACTAAAGGCACTGGAAATGGCCTGAAGAGGCTCCTTTTTTTCTGAACAGGAGGGCCCTAGAAGCCCTTTTGCTCCGTTGAGCTCAAAGCATACCTGTTCCTCTCTACAGGTGCGCTCTTCGGAAGCAGAACTCACCTGTGCACGGGGCTAGTTGGTTGGTCTCCCTCCTGCATCAGTAGTGGCATCATGCCTCTCTGAACCATTTTATCTCTTTTTAAAAAATATATAAATGTCTGTTTTAAGAAGCTGAATGTGATCACGTTCCTTATTCTCTGAAATGGCTTTGCAACCTTGCTGTTGATCAGTGCTGTTCACAACAGCACCTGCAGGCCCCTGGGTGGCCACTAAAATGCCTTTGGTGGCTATCTAGTAAAATTGGCAATCTGGATGTTCTTCTTATGGTCCAGAGCACTGGTTCTTAACCTTGGGTTACTCAGGAGTTTTGGACTGCAACTCCCAGAAACCCCAGTCAGGACAGCTTATGGTGAAGGCTTCTGGGAGTCTACAAAGGTATAGATTACTCAACGTAACCAGTCGTGGCCAGAATCCTGTTAACACAGGAATGCTGGTATGGAAAGTGTCAGGAAACTTCAGCAGATTCAAAACATGGCAGCCGGATTGTTAACTGGGGCTGGTCACGAGGCCCCTGTTCCAGCAGCTCCACTGGCAGATGTTTATGCGGGCTTCAACCTATGAAGCCCTTTAGGGTCCAATCTGTCTAAAAGTCTATATTTCCCTCTTATGAGCCTACCTGGGCATTCGGATGATCAGGGGAGGCCTTTCTCTCGGTCCCTGCACCTTCACGGGTCCATCTGGTGGGGACACAAGAGAGGGGCCTTCTCTGTGGCCACTCCCAGAGACTCTGGAACTCCCTCCCACTGGAGGCCAGCCTGGCCCCATCTCAGCTCTCCTTCCGCAAGCAGGCGAATAAGTCCTTTCTCTTCAGGCAAGCTTCCCCTCAGTGATTGTCTGCCTGAGTGGGTTTTCTTTTAAATAGATCACTGTCCTTGGCTGCTTTGAATGTGTTTTGGTGTTGCTTATGTTTTTTTTTTTTAGTACAGTATTTGTTTGATCTTTTTTAGCATTTGTATACTCCCTGTGTTTCACTTTAAAGACGGTCTCCTATTGATGTAAGCCACCTTAGGTCCGTTTAATGAGAAAGGTGGAGCGAAAATATTATCACTCAGTCAACTAGATGGAATAAGTTGCAGTGGTGAATTGCTGCTCCTTAACAAATTGATGCTTGTATTGATAATCGCACATCAATTTGACAGCGTGTGATGAAGAATACAGGCATCAATCAACTTCTTATCTCAGAGTAGTTAGGATTCTGTAACCTAATGCTGTTTGGGGTGAAAAATGAGATTCTGTTCAATCATACCACTGGAACCAACTTAGTTCAGAGCAGGTGTGTGGACACGTATCGGGGCGGGACAGAATGAAGAAGGAGGTGGAGATGTGAATGTCTGGACTCAAGATCCTGCTGTTTGTGGGTTGTTGTTTTTTTGTGACAGGTGCTGCCTGTGAGTAAAAACAGCCAGATGATCACTTTCACCTTTCAAAATGGCTGTGTTGCCACCCTTCGGACAAGTGGCACTGAACCAAAGATCAAATACTACGCAGAGATGTGTGCACCCCCTGAACAGAGGTGAGAAACTGTTTCTCTCTCCCCCCCAATGTCTGAGAGAGTCAAGTTCTGTGCCTGTCACAGATCCAACGAATTACAGTGGTGCCTCGCAAGACGGGCGCTCCATTTAATGACGAATCCGCATTACAATGAGGTTTTTGCAATCGTAAAAGCGATTGCAAAACGATGTTTTGAATGGGGGAATTTCGCTGCTGGATTTTCGCTCCCCTACGATCAAAACAGCTGATCGTCGGGTTTTCAAACTGGCTGCCGGGTGCTCAAAACGGCTCCCTGCTGTGTTTAGGAGCCATTTTTCGCTGCACAGGTACCCGAAAATGGCTGCCCCTGTGGAGGAGCTTTGCTGGACAGTGAGTTCTTAGCCGATTGGAATGCATTAACCAGGTTTTAGTGCGTTTCAATGGCTTTTTAATGTTCGCTTTACGACGTTTTCGTTCTACAGCGATTTCGCTAGAACGAATTAACGTCGTAATGTGAGGCACCAGTGTATAGATTTGAGCCTTAAGAAAAGGCATTGCAGATGCCTTAAAGAAAAGGTCTGTAATGCTGTTTGATCCAGGCACTGCCACTGATAAGAGTACCATATCTATTAAAAGAACCCTCCCTAAGGCAAGGGAACACACCATGATCTAGTGCAGTGGTTCTTAACCTTTGTTACTCAGATGCTTTTGAACTGCAACTCCCAGAAACCCCAGTCAGCACAGTTGGTGGTGAAGGTTTCTGGGAGTTGCAGTCCAAAACTCCTGAGTAACCCAAGGTTAAGAACCAGTGATCTAGTGGACAGAGCGATGAGCTAAAACTCAAGAGACTTGTGTTCGAATCCCTGCTCAGCCATGCAAGTTCACTGAGGGAATGGAACTGAAAAAACGATTCCTTAACTGCCTCACTTACCTAGAAAAACCACACTAGTGTTGCTTTAAGTTGGATTGGGCATGATGGCGCAGAGCAAAAGACTGGGAGATGAATCCCGTTGGCGCTTCTTTTCTGTTCATTTTTGGAAGTCACTGGAAGTCAAAACCACCCAAGAAATCCCACATGGGATTCGTGTGGCACGTCTTTTTACTTTGCTGTGGCTTCTAGGAGAAGGAAAACTCTGATTCCAATCCTCCACTGCCTTGTGGCTATATCCACTTATGGAAAAGGCTTCAGGAGTTAACCTAGAGGCAAAATCTGGAGCTGGAGGCCCGAAGGCAGCTCGTGTCGTTCTCGCAACTCCTGCGACGTTGCTGGAACCAGTTGTATTGGCTCTTGCCTCTCCGTTGGACCATTTCAGCAATGTGGAGAGGGGGGATCTGCTGCTTGGGTAACAGCCTATCCTCCATATTACTTTACCCAGGCTTCATGATCTGGAGAGGACACTCCTCGATTCAGAGCATGTTACCATAGTCTCTCGAGACTGAAGGATGCCTATGGGTGGTTCTGGGTGTGTGTGTGAAACTTATACAGGCTACATATGGCTATTCGGACCCGAAGGTGACTTAACGTGGTCTCTTCCTGTCCCTTAGCAGTCCTGTGAGGGGGGTTAGTTGAGCAGATGAGAACGTCATTGCGGTTTGTTTGTCATCAGAGTTTACTAAAATTCCAATTTGGGCGGGGGCAGCATCATCGACAGGTGTGCCCGGCCATAGGCGAGGGGTTCGCGTGACTAGCCTACAATCAGCTGGCCAGCAAGCGGCTCTTCCTGAACATGATGGAAGGCCAGGGACTAAAGGCCAGCACTCCCCCACCTGCGACGGGAGGCGAAGTGGTGACCAATGTCTCGTTCGCCTTGTATTTAGTGCAAAAGGTTTTACGCTGGCCGTGGCTGAAGTGCTTGGGTCGTCCTGGCCACACTAGTCTGCTGGAGCGTTTCCCAAAATGGACCTTTCATGCTTCTGAGGCCGGTGAAAAGATGCAGAATGTGGGAGCCCTTTGGCATTAGAAGCAGGCCAAGCCCCCTTTTTTCCTCCTGACTCTTCTCCCGGACTCCTTGTGAAGCCAAGCGGTGTGAAGCAGCCGTGTTAGGTAGACAAGAAGCTGTGGGGAGAGTGAGAAGGAATGGAATCCCGTTGCAATGTTTGTCCTCAGAGGGAAAACAGATCTTCTTGATCACGGCGGGACATTTTCCTAACCTCCTCTTTCTTGCTCTTTAGTGACATCGCTTTCCTGGAAGAGGACCTGCAGAAACTCATTGACGCCCTCATTGAGAATTTTCTGGAGCCCAGTAAGAATGGACTGATCTGGCGCTCCGTGTAGCCGCCGGCTCCTCCCGCCTTTGGGCGATGACGCAGAAGTCACTTCCATGCACTGTGTCCCATGGAACAAAGGAACCAAGATGATTACTCCCGTTTGCATTAATTTAATGTGTGTGTGTGTGTATGTGTTCCCTAGACAGCCTACCTATAGGAAAGCGGTCTTCTTTTGTCAGCATTATATCCTAAAAGGGTCAGCTGATTACCAAACAGATTTCCAGAGGATGATGAGTTCCTCCAGGTATGGCTGAAGCTAAAAGGAAAGGCTGGGCGCAGGCTGAAAAACTCCGCCAGGAGCTGATGCCCCAGCTTCTTTTGAAAAAAAGAGCAAATACAATTATTATTATTATTTTTTCTCCTGTGGGTTCCATCTTGTAGGTCCAGATATCTAGAGTCTGGGACGCTTGGAGGTTCTTGTCAGCTGGAAAGCTCTCAGGGGTGAGAAAGCTTGGAGTCTGAGGCTGACGGAGAGCCCTGCTTCTTTAGAGCTGTTATAAGCGTCGGTGAGCCTGTCCTCTTGGAAGTCTTAATTTTATTCAGCCTGTTTAGTAGAGTTCCGTGAATTAGGACTTTCTAGTTTGGTCCCCGTTGTTCAGTGGTCCTTATCTATTTAAACCTCTTTCTATTCTGAAAAGTGCTCTTTGTACGTCGAGTTCTCGCCCTGTCTCTACGCTTTACGCTGAAGCTGGCATAGCCGTTAAAGGAGAATCGCATGGTGTGCGTGTGCAGGTTTAATGGGTCTTGAAATGGGCCTAATGGCCCATTTCATGCTCCGTTCGCCCCTCAAAGGACTGCTCTCTCCTGGGCTTCCTGGTGGCCAGAGAACAAGCCTGTGTCCTGGGGTTTTATGCTTAGAGAGGTACCGAAGACTTTTGGGGTGGCTAAATGTGATTCTGCCAATTGTGCCCTCAGTTGCCTGAATTAAAAAAAACACACCTTCAAACACTTCAGCTTTTAGCTAATTAATAGAAGACCATTTTAAAATGGGCTTCCTTATATCACACCCTGGGGAGAGATGACTCCTTTGCATACGGCTTCTTCATCCTCTCTTCTCCTCTAGCAGTGGCTAACATTCTACAGCAATTAATCGGACCGGCCATGGGTGCTGTTAATTGCTTGTCTGCATAAAGAACTGGGCTCCGTTAGTTCTTCTGAAAGAGTCTGTCCCTGCAGGGTGTGTAGGAACTGAACCTGGCCACACACGCTTATTAAGCCTGCACTTGACGCTGCCATACTGCACCGACCTTTGCAAAATGCCATGGTCTTGCCGTGCTGCAGACCGAGAGCCAAAGCTTTCCAAATAAATTGGGGTGAAGATTCCTTTGGAGGGTTGGGATTGGCCGCCAACCTCCAGAAGCAAGGACAGGCTGCGCGAATCCCAGCAAGCTAGAAACCCACCACCTCCGCAGCCTTCCAAGTGCACCGTGGCGGAAAGCCCGGCTGCACCGGGAGACAGAACATCTAGGGTGGCTTGCTAGATGCCTTCTCCTGTGTGAAAGGCAAGGAGACCATCAGGTGCCCCTGGGAGAGGGGATTTGAGATGGCAAGCAGTGCTAGAGCACAGAGATTTATCATCCCAGAGCGAAGCCCGGGTTGCTGACATGAACCGACGGGGCAGATCTTTGCAAAAGAGAGAGAGCTGCCCTTCCCTTCCTAGTCTGGTAACCAGACGAGTTTCCAAATCCAGAAGCTTCTTTCAGTGCTTGTGGCCGAGCAGAGAGCAGAAACCACGTTGGAGGCCATAGAGTTTAGCTTTGCTGTTCTTGTTTGACTCTCCCTTCTTTCTTCCCCTTCTTCCTTACACCCTTTTTGGGCTGGATCTCATAAAATCGTCTAGGTGACCTCTGTACTGACGACCCAGCTACTGATGGACCCAGGAACAAGCCATTCAGAGCTTGCCTTTCACCGGTAACAGTAAGCCAGGATTTGCAGGCTTATGTGTCTGGCTGTGAAGGAGCAGCGTGCCAGCTTACTGGTTCTTCCCTTTGCAGAAATAAGGGAAACAAACGAAGGATAAAAAACTTCACATGGACATCCAAGCCTGGACTCCTGGTTTGCTCCCGGGCAAGGCAACGTGGTTGATTCTCGGCTTCTTTGGGAACCAGGACGTTTTGGTTCAGCTCCACTTCTCTGTCTTTTGGGAGCGGGGAGCCCGGAGCCCAGCGTTGAGTGTGATGTAATGTTTTCAACTTTCCTGATTCTGGTGGTATTGTGGGTTTTTCGGGCTCTTTGGCCGTGTCCTGAAGGTTGTTCTTCCTGACGTTTCGCCAGTCTCTGTGGCCGGCATCGTCAGAGGACTGGAACTCTGTCCATGCTCTGTTCCTACTCCAGTCCTCTGAAGATGCCCATGGCCACAGAGATTGGCGAAACGTCAGTTACAACAACCTTCAGAACACGGCCAAAGAGCCCGAAAAACCCACAACCACCATCGGATCCCGGCCGTGAAAGCCTTCAAGAATACGTTTCCTGATCCTCTTCACCCAGGCTAGCCTGGAGATGCTGGCTTATTGTTCCATGTAAATTCAGCCAAATTTTCTTGTCCCTCTAGATGGAGATTTAGTGGGGAAGGAGGAGCCGATGCTGTAGCATATATATATTTTTTTGAAGTACTTTAGTCGTATCTGAATGTATGTGGGTAACCGGAAATCGCTTTTCTTGCACGAAACTCTTGGGGCACCGTTCGCCAGGAACGTCCCCTTGAAAATCCAGTGTGGGTGTGTGCCAGGGATATTCGTGATGGATTTTGTCCTTGCTGCACATGCAAAATATTTATTTATTCTTTGTGTTTTTATTTAATGATAAACGCCTTCCAGACTGTGCATACATTTGCGTATGATAGGTTGAATGCCAAAACCTTTTTCCCCCCTTTATCGTTTGTATCGCTGCTGTATCTGTGCTGGGAGGCACCCAAAGATGTTCGAAGGAAAAGCTTGGCGTTCTGTTGTCCTTTAAAAACCCAGTTCTCCCACGTGTGAAAAAAAATGTTCCTTTTAAGTCCAGAAGGAGCAGAATCCCAAGGCCTTAAGAATCGTCCTGAGTCTTTGGCTCATCTTGAAAAGAACCGTGTCCGGTGTGAGAAATGTAAGAGCGGAGGTTTTTTAAAAAAGGATTCCCAAATTCCTTCTTTTTAAGAGGATAGCTAAGCAGGGGTGACTCAGGTCCTCTCCTTTCGTCTAGGGGGCAGTTGCAAACGACTTTGGTGTTTCTTGGAGTAACAAACCGATGGGCAAAATACTACAGTGAGAGAGAAAAAAGAAAGTGGCTTCAGTTTGGTTTGGCATCCCAAGAAGGGGAAGGGTTTAACCACAAGCCGTGAGCGGCAGTATGGGCGTCTTCTCACATGAAAATTCATCCAATTTTGGTCAAGGGTGCTGTTAATTCTCTCTCTCCATACACACCCCCCGCATGCCCTGGCTACCCCTCATTTCTTCAACTCTTTTTTAAAAAATTTTTTATTTAAAACATAAACATTTCTTCAACTCTGAGAGGTCACCCCTCCCGTCTCTCACTGACCGGGCCTGGAGTCCAGGCAGCCATATTTCTATCCGTGTGATGGCAGCAGGACGCAATACAGGGCATGGTTTGAAGATGTGGTTTTCGACTTCCCTGTTGCCTTTTGCTTCACCATGTAGGTTGGGACGGAGCACTTTTGTGGGACCGTTGATTGGATTGTTTCAGAAGAACAAAACAAAACTAAAAAAACAAACCACTCCCACCCCTTAGTGCAATTATTTATTTAAGCTTCTCCCCCCTTTTTTGTACTGTTAAAAGTGCCTTTTGTCTCATTCATTTGCATCGCCTCATCCCTGTTGACCTTTGTGTGCAGGTTTAAGATAAAAGACTTCAAAAAAGATCCATCCATCACGCTAGCAAGTTGGAAATGTTTCCGATACACGCCTTGGCTATTCGCTGTCCTTCAGCATAACTTGGAATAAGGGCAAGAATCGTCTTCCCTTACGCGATGGTATGAGGGCAATCTTATGCGCGTTCTCCACCACCCACGAGCTGACTGTCACGGCATTCAGGCTTGTCCCTATGCTGCAGAACTGGGCATAGGGAGAGGTTGTGTCACTTATCCCATGACGAGGAGCTGGCGGGGGGGGGGAGAAACAGCTGTCCAGCGGCTCACACCCGGGTTTTACTCCCTTTGGATGTTTGGTCCATGCAGTGCTCCTCCCCACCCACTGAGAAAACATCTCAAGGATCTTAACTCGGCTGTGGCCATCAGTGGCGACCAAAGTCTGCGAGATGGGGGAAGAGCCGCCTTTTCCTCCCCCCCCGTCCGCCTTTGCAAAAGCCGCCATCTGGTTTCTGTAGCCAGGGTAGACTCTCTCTCTTCTAGGGCGTAGTTGCCGTAGGTGGGGGATAGCCATCCGTGGAGCCCCTTCCTATGCACGCGAGGTTCTCCCATCCGCAAGGGTGGAAGGAGAACACGCTTTCTCGCGGGCGACCGATGAGCGTCGCTGGGGGTCTTGAGTTGTCGCATGTCATGCAAATGATGGTCTGGAACAGGCAGGCCATACCTGGACTTCCATCCAGATTCCTTCCCTAACCTGTGACTCCTTGTTAGAAAGGGGTAGAACCTCCTAACTCGGGAACCGAACGGAGGAGGTGGCATCGGGCGTGCTCTTTCAACGTGAAATATGCCTTGGGTTTCCCTGGGCACCTCCCGTGCCGCTAGCAGGCTGTACGTTGACACAGAGGGGAAGGTGTGGCATGTTCCCAGGATAATAAACAAATAAACGACGCCTCCCCCAGGTTGGAAAAGGGATCCTTGCTTTCCTCTGGTGTGCATTTGGCAGCTTCCGCACCCAGGTGCGCACGCCTGCTGCCTTCCACCGAGTTTTCTTTTCAGGATGAACAAATTCCCAGGGCGGTCCCCCCTCTTGGCCTGCTCTTTCGTGAAATCTTAAAAGAGTGGTATAAGCGGAGTGCCTTTCCTTTCTTTTTGCCTTTCCTTTCCTTTAAAACGAGCTTTTCTGCCTCAGAGACAGTGGGTGTTATTGTTAAATTGTGGACTGAAATTTTGCACTTTTATTCTGTTGGACGTCTTTCTGTGTCTGGATTTATGATGTGCATTTAGTTGGAAGAGATGTTACGTTAATAAAACATTTTCTTCATAGCGTCGTGCTTCCATGTTTTGGGTGTTCAGGGTTTTCAAGGGGGTGGCACAGCGCATCATTTCAGGGGCTACTCTTGGCAGCTGGGGCAAAATGGGCAAAAAAACTGCAGACAAAAAGTAGATTGTATTAATTACATATTTTGTTGCAGAGGTTTTTGGTATGCAATAAAAGTACAGCGATCAACAGGAGAATAGCTGCAGTTTTCCACAGCCCACCTCTATCTCATTAACTGGTGCTTTAAAGAGTTAACTCAGATCGAGACATTTGTAGGAGAAAGAGTAAAAAATTCTTTTTTTACTCACACTTGCTTGAAATTACAGACTTGTAATTGTATCTGATTTCTTTACTGCACACATACTTAGCAACCTGCTGAACTGATCAACAGCAAACAACCGCTTCCAACCGACAAAATACAGGGCGGGGGGAGCACTCAGCAGAGAAATGGGACTCTCTTTGAATTCAAATATTGGAAAGAACAAGTGATTAGGAATATATGGACAGTCATCTCAGCCCGGAAAGGTCCCTCCTGGTCGCACAAACTACAGACAGCATGGAAGGTGTTGCAAACAAAACTCTTAACATCTTTAGCATTGTGTGTGACTACTAAAAAATTACATAAAAGATTTAAGGAAAAAATGCATACATTTATGCATGTAGGGATGTTTTGCACATGCTTTTGTTTGAATCATTGAGTACAACTGGCATAATTTATTTCTGCTTTGTTATGCTGAGGAACGATGCCCCGGCCACTGGAAATTGCACTGATGTTTCTGTTTTTATTCTGCAATGCTTTGCCTTTTGGGCTTGC